TCTCCCTATTACCTCATCTCTCTGTTACCCCATCTCTCTGTTACCCCATCTCTCTGCTACCCCAACTCTCTGCTACCCCATCTCTCTGTTACCCCATCTCTCTGTTACCCCATCTCTCTGCTACCCCATCTCTCTGCTACCCCATCTCCCTGCTACCCCATCTCCCTGTTACCCCATCTCTCTGTTACCCCATCTCTCTGTTACCCCATCTCTTTGTTACCCCATCTCTCTGCTACCCCATCTCCCTGTTACCCCATCTCTCTGTTACCCCATCTCTCTGTTACCCCATCTCTCTGCTACCCCATCTCTCTGTTACCCCATCTCTCTGCTACCCCATCTCTCTGCTACCCCATCTCCCTGTTACCCCATCTCCCTGTTACCCCATCTCCCTGTTACCCCATCTCTCTGTTACCCCATCTCTCTGTTACCCCATCTCTCTGTTATCCCATCTCTCTGCTACCCCATCTCTCTGTTAGCCCATCTCTCTGCTACCCCATCTCTCTGCTACCCCATCTCTCTATTACCCCATCTCCCTGTTACCCCATCTCTCTGCTACCCAATCTCTCTGCTACCCCATGTCTCTGTTACCCCATCTCTCTGTTACCCCATCTCTCTGTTACCCCATCTCTCTGCTACCCCATCTCTCTGTTACCCCATCTCTCTGTTACCCCATCTCTCTGTTACCCCATCTCTCTGTTACCCCATCTCTCTGTTACCCCATCTCTCTGCTACCCCATCTCTCTGTTACCCCATCTCTCTGCTACCCCATCTCTCTGCTACCCCATCTCCCTGCTACCCCATCTCCCTGTTACCCCATCTCCCTGTTACCCCATCTCTCTGTTACCCCATCTCTCTGCTACCCCATCTCTCTGTTACCCCATCTCTCTGCTACCCCATCTTACTGTTACCCCATCTCTCTGCTACCCCATCTCTCTGTTACCCCATCTATCCGCTACCCCATCTCTCTGCTACCCCATCTCCCTGTTACCCCATCTCTCTGCTACCCCATCTCTCTGTTACCCCATCTCATTGCTACCCCATCTCTCTGCTACCCCATCTCTCTGCTACCCCATCTTACTGTTACCCCATCTCTATGCTACCCCATCTCCCTGTTACCCCATCTCCCTGTTACCCTATCTCTCTGCTACCCCATCTCCCTGTTACCCCATCTCTCTGTTACCCCATCTCTCTGTTACCCCATCTCTCTGCTACCCCATCTCTCTGCTACCCCATCTCTCTGCTACCCCATCTCTCTGCTACCCCATCTCTCTGCTACCCCATCTCTCTGTTACCCCATCTCTCTGCTACCCCATCTCCCTGTTACCCCATCTCCCTGTTACCCCATCTCTCTGCTACCCCATCTCTCTGCCACCCCATCTCTCTGCTACCCCAATTCTCTGCTACCCCATCTCTCTGTTACCCCATCTCTCTGTTACCCCATCTCTCTGCTACCCCATCTCTCTGCAACCCCATCTCTCTGCTACCCCATCTCTCTGCTACCCCATCTCTCTGTTACCCCATCTCTCTGCTACCCCATCTCCCTGTTACCCCATCTCCCTGTTACCCCATCTCCCTGTTACCCCCATCTCCCTGTTACCCCATCTCTCTGTTACCCCATCTCTCTGCTACCCCATCTCTCTGTTACCCCATCTCTCTGCTACCCCATCTCAGGGACAAAAGGATTTCGCGATTATTTTGGTCAAAAATCTCGGTACCGCGAAATTTAACAGGCTATACATTAAACTATACATAAAATTTGTCACGGAGAATGGGAAATTTCGCGATTTCGTACATGCCGCGAAATCCTTTTGTCTCTGCCCCATCTCCCTGTTACCCCATCTCTCTGTTACCCCATCTCTCTGCTACCCCATCTTACTGTTACCCCATCTCTCTGCTACCCGATCTCTCTGTTACCCCATCTATCTGCTACCCCATCTCTCTGCTACCCCATCTCCCTGTTACCCCATCTCTCTGCTACCCCTTCTCTCTGTTACCCCATCTCTCTGCTACCCCATCTCTCTGCTACCCCATCTCTCTGCTACCCCATCTTACTGTTACCCCATCTCTCTGCTACCCCATCTCCCTGTTACCCCATCTCCCTGTTACCCTATCTCTCTGCTACCCCATCTCCTGTTACCCCATCTCTCTGTTACCCCATCTCTCTGCTACCCCATCTCTCTGCTACCCCATCTCTCTGCTACCCCATCTCTCTGCTACCCCATCTCTCTGCTACCCCATCTCTCTGTTACCCCATCTCTCTGCTACCCCATCTCCCTGTTACCCCATCTCCCTGTTACCCCATCTCTCTGCTACCCCATCTCTCTGCCACCCCATCTCTCTGCTACCCCAATTCTCTGCTACCCCATCTCTCTGTTACCCCATCTCTCTGTTACCCCATCTCTCTGCTACCCCATCTCTCTGCAACCCCATCTCTCTGCTGCCCCATCTCTCTGCTACCCCATCTCTCTGTTACCCCATCTCTCTGCTACCCCATCTCCCTGTTACCCCATCTCCCTGTTACCCCATCTCCCTGTTACCCCATCTCCCTGTTACCCCATCTCTCTGTTACCCCATCTCTCTGCTACCCCATCTCTCTGCTACCCCATCTCTCTGTTACCCCATCTCTCTGCTACCCCATCTCAGGGACAAAAGGATTTCGCGATTATTTTGGTCAAAAATCTCGGTACCGCGAAATTTAACAGGCTATACATTAAACTATACATAAAATTTGTCACGGAGAATGGGAAATTTCGCGATTTCGTACATGCCGCGAAATCCTTTTGTCTCTGCCCCATCTCCCTGTTACCCCATCTCCCTGTTACCCCATCTCCCTGTTACCCCATCTCTCTGTTACCCCATCTCCCTGCTACCCCATCTCCCTGCTACCCCATCTCCCTGCTACCCCATCTCCCTGTTACCCCATCTCCCTGTTACCCCATCTCTCTATCATTATTGGTTTATTGCTGAGTGTTGATTAAGAGAATGACAGAAATAATCCGTTTCATTAGAAGATGGCCATGGGCCAGAATTGAACTAATTAGCTACAGTACATCCTCATTTTGCAGTCTCTTCGTGGGGTTAACACAGCTGACCATTTTAGCTTACCACTGGCACGGATTTGTACTCACATGTTAAGTTAACTATGGCCCACCCTGTGTGCAGTAACCGGTGGAAAGGTTTACAATACACGTGCTACAGTTAATACGATTATAATGATCATTACACCTGTTCTTACTCAGTTACTAGTTACTAGTTACTAGTTACTAGTTACTAGTTACTAGTTACTAGTACTTAGTAGTACTACCACATCAATACAGATTAACTAATAACTATAATAGTAGTAATATATAATTATAGAGTACAAATTACAATATACTGTTGAGTGTTAACGTCAGGGTTCAGGTGGTATCAGGTTCATGTCTTCACTGTTCTGAGTTAGGTGTGGTACTACAAGTGGGGTGCAGTGTGGTTACATAGTTATCAGCTAGGTGTGGTACTACAAGTGGGGTGCAGTGTGGTTACATAGTTATCAGCTAGGTGTGGTACTACAAGTGGGGTGCAGTGTGGTTACATAGTTATCAGCTAGGTGTGGTACTACAAGTGGGGTGCAGTGTGGTTACATAGTTATCAGCTAGGTGTGGTACTACAAGTGGGGTGCAGTGTGGTTACATAGTTATCAGCTAGGTGTGGTACTACAAGTGGGGTGCAGTGTGGTTACATAGTTATCAGCTAGGTGTGGTACTACAAGTGGGGTGCAGTGTGGTTACATAGTTATCAGCTAGGTGTGGTACTACAAGTGGGGTGCAGTGTGGTTACATAGTTATCAGCTAGGTGTGGTACTACAAGTGGGGTGCAGTGTGGTTACATAGTTATCAGCTAGGTGTGGTACTACAAGTGGGGTGCAGTGTGGTTACATAGTTATCAGCTAGGTGTGGTACTACAAGTGGGGTGCAGTGTGGTTACATAGTTATCAGCTAGGTGTGGTACTACAAGTGGGGTGCAGTGTGATTAATACGGTGACCTGTTAGACTGTTAACTAGGTTCGGAGCTGAGCTACTAGAATTCTAGAATGTAATGATGTTAAACTAATCACTGCTGATAGTCCCCTCCAGCCTGCTCCAGGCTCCAGCTAATACTATATAGCCGGTAGTCACACCAGTAACAGTACACTTTAAGCTACTTATACAGTATACAGTAGTATGATAGTATACAGTATACAGTAGTATAATAGTAAAGAAGTAAGACGTGTTGGTATTGACTAGTAGAGTAGTAGGTGTGGGTCCCATATTATATCCTCACTGTGTGTATAGGAGCCCCCACCGGGGTTATTACTTACACCCTACCGGGGTTATCACTTACATGTGTACCTGTGGGTGTGGTTGTGGTATAATAGACTTCAAGTCCTCAGCAGTGAATAGTAACTGTGTTATGTAGAGGTGTCTAACCAATGTGTTAACTGTTAGTATCAGTTTGTGTGTAGTAGACTTCAAGTCCTCTGAAGGGTAGCTTTATACAGGGGTCTGCGTGAAATGTGTATACATTATAATACAGGTACTGTGTATACATTATAATACAGGTACTGTGTATACATTATAATACAGGTACTGTGTATACATTATAATACAGGTACTGTTGAGGAGTTTGTGTGAAATGTGGTGGTGAGTACCTACTGTGATGCAGTGACTACTGTATTGTGGAGATTAGTGGAAAGTTAAAAAGTTTTAACTTTTGGGAAGGTCATTAGCAAAGCTGCAAAATTGTGCATTTTTCTGGAAATAATACACAAAATTAAAGTTAGACTTGCTAGTAGGTTTAATGTAAAAGTCACCTCATATGAAGATCTTAGTAGCTCTTTAGAATTGGCCATAATATATAATGTAATTTTAAAAAACATCTCTAACCCAATAGCTGTAACTTCCAATTACAATAACCAATTAACCAATTAACCCCAATTATCTCTAATTACCCCAATTAGCACTAAATACCCCTAATTACCTCAGGTTGGTGACGTAGTGAAGTTGGAATGTGAGGATGAGTTCCCCTGTGACATGGTACTCGTATCCTCTAGTGACGAGGAAGGAAGCTGTTTCATCACTACCGCTAACTTGGACGGAGAAACCAACTTGAAGGTTTAACACCTACCTTAAACACATTTAACACCTTTAACACCTTTAATCTTTTTAATATTATCAAATTTGTAGTATGTTAGATTGGTTACATGATACATCTTCAAGTTTACCCTCTCATTTTCTCTATTTTATACCAACTATTTGGTGAGCTGTACTGATCACATTCAACACAAGAATTAATTGTTTAGTTCCAAATTGCTTCAAAAACATTCATATTTTGAAAGATATGGCTAGAAATATATCTCTAAAAAAACACTGTGTCGTATCTCAGCACCCTGTAATAAATAATGCAATATAATCACCGCTGCAGTGTTGCCAATATCATTATCACTTTTATGGAGATGTAGCTGTAGATGGTATATATACCATCTACATATATATACATATTAAGACGCAATGAAACTATAATGGTCATGCAGGGACTGTTGGCTCATAATATGAGATAATCACGTTTCTTGTTGAGTTGGTGGGGTTGGCGGGTTGCCAAGTTATTCCAGACCACGTTTGGCATATCATAACGAACATCCGGAGCACGACTTGTTATGTAGGACCTATACTATTGTATTATCTATTTGGAAAAATGTTAGATAAAAAATAGTTTCAACTTGAAGTGCAGTATTTTTAATTTCTAAAGAATCAATGGATGTGGATACTGGCGGGGAGGTGATAATTGTTTGTTTACATTTTAGGGCGAGCACATGTTCAGGAGGCTGAAGAGAGGCTTGTAACGCCTTCTTGTTACCCCCCCTTTGAAGCTTTGAGGGCCCCGAATTATTTTCTGAACGAAAGCTCAAAAATAACCGAGAAATCGACCTTCTTATAAACTCATTTTGATGACCGTTTCTAATCTGAAATTGCACGAAAAATCGATTTAGCTAGGTTTCAGTCACCTGGGGACCTCAGGCTATCATGTTTATAAACATGACAGGCTGAGCGCGGCCCAGTAAGGTTTCAGAACCTATAAACACTTCCTTATCCCTCAAAATCGATGTTTTATAGCTCAGTTCTGCTTCCTATAGGTATAAATTGTGCATAAGGCTAGTTTTAAAGTTGAAAATCGAAAAGTTGCACACGTGGGGACACGCCCAAATTGATTAAAAATTGCAAAAATCACTGAAAATTGCTGTTTTTACCATTTTCTGTCAACTTTGGAGTGCCGTTGTGAGTACAGTTCTTCTTGAAATACTTTGAAACTTTGCATGCTTATCAAACTATACATAAATAACGAATATGCAAAAATTTAAGGTGATTCAATATTGGATGCGCACGCAACGTCCGCTCAAAGTTTGCACGTGCGAAAGGTGAGAATTTTGCTCAATCGTGATTTCGGTTAGATTCTGCTTTTCCATGACAGTTAAATGGCATTAAATATGAATTTAATGCCGACTTGAATGAGTATAATGTGGCATATTCAGTCAGTGATCGACAGATATGCTTACCTAAACACAAGGAAATGTTTTCAAAGGTAAAATTTCAAAATCGCGTTGAAATTACCTCCTTTACCTTATTAATAAAGTTATGAATTTCGACTTTGAAAAGTACCCTGACATTATAATCAAAAAGAGATGATTTTTGACCAAAACCCATAATCATGGGTAGAGTGGACCGCTGCCAGTGTCTCTCTTTCCCAAATAAAAGGATATGATATCAATTTACCGAGAATGAAATCGGTCGCTCGCTTTTCCCATTCATTTACAATTGTAATAGATTAAGAAGAACTACCCGAAGGCAGCTGTACTGAGTACTCGGCACTTCACCCTGATTTTTTTGTGAAACTTGGTTTCGAGATAGCAGTTTACCAACAAACTAGGACCAGTTACCGAACTTTTGAGGGGGTCCCGGACCCCAACCGCCAAACGGTGCCCGCGGGGCAGCCACGCCCATATTTTGTCCAAATTAGGCCCAATTTAGCCAAATACCCTCAACATGCCCAAAATCCAGATTTTAGGTGCTCTACTTGTAGCTAGTGGTCCCCTGAACTCGTATATGAATTTTCATCAAGATTGGACAAAAAATGACTGAGTTATGAGCAAAAAACCATATGACCATATTTGGGCATACGCACCAAATTTGATCGATTTTGGCCCATATATTGGTCAAATATCAATATTTTTGAATGAAACCAACTTTATATGGAAGGTAAGCCTATACTACACATTCTCTATGATTATCAGCTCAGTATCTACCTAACTGTGGATTCTGTGTTCAAATAATCGCAAAAAATGAACAAAATTGCCCATATCTCGGTTCGCGATATTTGCAAAACTGATTTCGCTCAAAACAATAGAACTCAACAGGGTTTCAATATTTTTACATGAAATTTTCAGAATCAACGCGACGTAGAATCGCATTTCGACCTTAAGTTTTGGGACAGAATTTTAAGTTAGGTCTTTAAAAAAATGTGTAGTATAGGCTTACCTTCCATATAAAGTTGGTTTCATTTAATCAGGGTGAACCCCCCCCCCCCCCCCCCCCTTAAAGAGAACTGAATGTTACTGTTAGTGAACTTGAGGTCGGAGAAGCTGTAAGAAATGGCTGAATTTACCGTATTTAGTTTCAATATTCCTCCTTGTTTACTTACTTGTCTCATGATATAGTAGTCCCGTAGTTAAACTGTGCTACACTGTACTCTTATCGAGGTACATAGATAAGATAACAGTTTCTAGACTATTATCTTATCTATGAACCTCGATAGAGGTACATAGATAGGAGAATGTTTTATTTTTGATATAAAGTAAATTGCAATATTTTGCACATCTAAGAGAAATAAAACTCAATATTCAATGCACCTTTTTAAACTTATGGTCATTCAACAAAATTCACTCGTGATCGTCTCACACCTTACCCCTGCGTTACCCAGTGCAGTTTCATACAAGTTAGCATTATTACCTTCACATAAGGTTCTGCTGGGGTTCAGCAGATCGTTTTCCAAAATCAACAAATGTTTCACCGTTCTGCTGGGGTTCAGCAGATCGTTTTCCAAAATCAACAAGTGTTTCACCGTTTTGCTGGGGTTCAGCTTATCGTTTCAAAACGATAAAATCATCATAATAAGCATCCCAATAAGCATCGTCCTGAGCCTGGGGTTCAGCTGATCGTTTTCCAAAATCAACAAATGGTTCACCGTTCTGTTGGGGTTCAGCTGATCGTCTTATTGGAGGCTGACACTGAGTCAGAGCGATCAGTCCTAGCACTAGTAGAAAACAGAATACTTTCGTCATTGCTGCGGGTCTGGTGTTTTTTTAGGCTAAAACAATAGGATACGAATATGACAATACTTAAATAGTTCAACGTTTTTTACAAATATCAATCGATATCAGATAAAAATAAGATTTTTAAAAAATGAAATGCGGAGTTACGTGAGACTGAAACCTGGTAAAAGGAACAGAACTGAAAGTTAAAGCCCTGATAAAGCAAATACCACCGTGTTCTAAGGAGAAATCAGTCGTATCAGAAGTCGTTCAAAAGGTAGATCAAAATAGTCTATTTTATTATATTGTTAAAGATAAAAAGGAAAAAAGCAACCAGCTGCTAAAATTTGACGCTGGAAAAAACCCGGAAATCGGCATATTTAGGTGTCTAAAAAACCATGTTAATAATAAAACAAAAGTTAATAAAACAAAAGTTAAATTTATTACCAATTATTCAATCAATACATATCATAAATTCTAATATTGGAAACACAATGCAAAATGGATGTCTTAAACTATAATTTTGTTGTGACTAATAATCTATTGACTTTCAAAGTTGAATTTTAGTTAAGTATGAAATGCCACCACATCATAGTTAGGGTAAAATGTTATTTTTAAATTTTAAAATTGAGAAGATTGCTCTATGGCTTACAATTTAAAATTCTAGCAAAAGATATCTTATTTTTAAATAGTTGGTTACAGTTTATGACAGTACTGGCATGACTAGTTTAATTGTGGCTGGTAAAAGGACCCAGTTGCCTGTAAGGGCTTTACCGAACCCCTGGGGACCACAATGTGATAAGATCAGGCCAGATGTTTCTATGTAGAGCAATTTATTTATTTCGGAGCTATGGTTATATGATATTGCTGGTGGTCATGTTTAAAGGTCAGTTTATCCTTGTGTGTTAATTATCCATCCAGATGCTTGGTGATGTGCGTAAATCATGCCCTTCTACGATATATAATGTTTAACCATAAATTTGTTTTTACCACAGAAACTGTGGCACTAATGTCAATTAACAATATTTACATTCATTGATATTTAAAGCGTGTTTTTCCCCAGCACTACTACACAACAAAAACCTGTCGGCCCACCGAGGAAACACGGTCGCAGAACAAAGAGCCCAATTGTGCTCTTCTATTCTGTGATCGTGTGTATCTACTATAAACTAGCTAAATGTACTAAGAAAATTTAATGGAATCATTACAGTCGTTTGATAAGTTCACGTGTCAAAGTAATGTTCATGGTGATCAAATTTTTGGATCCCCGGTGGGCAAACACTCGTCCCGAAGGTTAAGGCATACCTGTCGATGTTTCACCATACGAAGTAAGGCGATTTGAACATATACTCAGCTTACAACTCAACCCATGGGACGAGACGTCGTGAGCCTCAAAATTCTCCAAAATATATAGCACATACCTAGTTAGCAAACACTAAACACAACATACATAGGATACCAAATAATGTATAATGCCATTACTACATTCGCGTTCGAAAGAAAATATATCTGCTATCTAATTTAAAAAATTGAAGAATAAACCTGAAGAAAGGAGAAGGAGAGAGGGGTTTGGGAGAGGCAGAGTAGGAAAACAACAGGATCCTGTGCCGCAGGATTTTAAAATTTGTTGTATGATGATTCGTTTTGTTTCGTCTCTTAGATTAATATAGGTCTGATACCCTTGTCATGGTTCTTTGCAATAACACCGTGGTTTACTCATATGATTAAGTTTACTTAATTAACCTATTTCAATGATAATTCATTTGCATCAAAGTTGTAACTGCACCATAGTTGTCTGTCATATTTAGA